AAGCATTGTAGTACAGGTTGTACCATCACAACCATCATTTCATTTGTGATCAAATTAGAATCTGGGTCTTAGGATTTGAAAGACAAACGCATTAATCCCCTGAAAGATTCAGTCACTCTCTGTCAATTCTAATCAGGTGAAGGCATTGCTCATTTTGCTTCAAGGCAGTTGGAGGGGCTGGTTTTTTGGGGGTTTTTTTGTTTGTTTAGTTGGTTGGTTTTTTGTTTTTTAATACAGGGAGGTGGGCTTTTTGCTTATTTTGTTTTTCAGGTAATGATGTAGCTATTACATATAAAATAATGCAAGATTTTGTACCCTTGTATGTCCTTTTAAACTATCACAGTTCTCTGTAATTTGCAGAAATCCTTTGTGGCCATCTGTACCAGAGAATAAATGGGATACAAAATTCTGATGTTTTTGCTAAAACAAGAGTGGGGTGAGGTTGGTTTATTTTATTATTATTATTTTGAGTAGCTTGGAAGCTTTGTCACTTTAAACAGATGACTTAATTTATCTTGATCTGAAAGAGTTTATCTTACTATCCTGAAAGGAAATTTGGGAAAAAGCTGTGCATATAACTGTTTTCTGCATAGATCATGGGTAAGAAGGCTTGCCCAGTAAACTGAAACTGTTTTTGTAATGCTTTCTGTGCAACAAGAATAATGTACTGAGCTGATCAAAAAGTTAACAAGTTACTTTGAATTGTCCAGGCAAGATTGTAGGATGAATAAGTTGTTGTTTCATGTTTGGGTTTTTTTGTTTGTTTGTTTAAATCTAGAATTTCTGGGATTAAAATTACCATGTTTTCTAACACCATCATGTTAATGAAAAATAATCAGATACAGAGTCTCTCAAATGGCCTTAAAATAAATGCAGTGTTTCTGTTTTGATTATCTATGATACGCTTCAGAAGTGAACTGACTGCTGTAATATTGAGTCTTCTCTTCAAACAGAGAATGTTTGAAGAATGTTTCTATGTGTTATGCTGAGAATGTTTTTAGTTATCCTAGGAGACATGAGTCTCAAATGCCAGTCAGGTACTTCCCAGGGCAATGGGATGTGCAGTCTGTACTTTGTAAGGGTTGGTATCTGAGCTGTAGTAATTCACAGACCAGGAACCCCATGCAGAGGGAAGGTAACAAGCTGAAAACATGCAGGTATGGAAGCATACCGTCTGCTTCTATGCTGGGAGATGTACTTATATATTTCTTTGGTTTTTTTTCTCCAGTAAAGTGGGTGAAATAGTGGTTGACAGTTCTGATGAAGTGTGAGGAGGACCCGACTTGCAAGTGGGCTTTCGTAAAAGATTTCATTGTTCCCTGCTCCTTCCTTTCACCTACAGGCATAATCTTTGCCTCCTGACATAGAAAGAGATCTGAGATAGATCATGCTTTCTTGTTTTGAGCAGTGGGCAGTAATGTTCATCTCCTGTTCATCTCAAATCTTCCACTTTCATGTCTTCAGAGTCATCACTTCAGCAGTTAGGATGCAATGAAATGCCAGGTCAGAAAATAGAAGCCACTGTGTCCTTGCCTTTTTATACTGCTTAGACAACATAAGGAGACTAGGAAAGCCTCTTGCTTTTCTTGTTGTTTACATTTTGTGCACTGTAGTGTCTGAAGCAAGATGCAGATTAAGAAGTGAAATCTTTCTCCTTACTTGGCAGAAATAAATCTCTGCCCACTGCCTCATATCGTGTGGAAATGACAATCTCTTTTACTATATATATATATATATATTTTAATGGTCTTACTGTTGTTTTTTTTTAGCTAAGATTTGTTGAGTGATCGCTAAAAGCAAGAGGAAATTGAATTAAGAGAGAGATCATAGTATAATAATTGCAACACAGCAGTGTCCTTTCAGTTTCAGTAGGTAATATTTTATGAGGTGTGGAAAATGGGGCAGTTCTTTCTGTGTCAACTCACTGTACTATACTGGACAGCAGTTATTTTACACAGAGTACATTATATTGCAGTCGAATTGTCTGTCCCAGGGACTTGCTGTATTTAACTGCCTCTATTTTCCCAGCCAGATTATCTGATTTTTTTTTGCCAGTCCTCCCCATGCTCCTTGCCCTGTTTGCCTGTGGCTTCTGTCAGGGGCTGCAGTGGCAAGTCTGACTGCTATCACTCTGGCAGCATCCAGCTCGCTGCAGGTTTCCATGCACAAGAACTGCCTCTCTGTTTGTCTTTTTTATTGACAGTCATAATGGAAGCAGCTAGGCTAGTTTCTATTTCTTCTTTTCCGCTTCTTATTAAGACTGGCTTTGATGCTTCAGTCCTAAAAAGCATTGTATTTGCAATTTGCAGGTTTAATATTGTAAAATCAACAGGAAGCGAGATGAGTCAGTGCTGTACATGCTGTCTTTCTGTAGACCACAGTGTGTGGGATTTATTAGAAATACAGAAAGTCTCCTGACATCTGCTTCTAAAAAAATGGTTCTAATGTATTTTCTTAGACACTAAGGCAAGGTGGTTGGAGAATGGAATGAGAAGGAATAGCAGTGCTGTTCTATTCCTACCTCATTGCCCCAGAGTTCTGTGCAAAACAGACTCAGTATAGAGAGATTCATGTGATTTATTACCTACTGATAATAGACCAGAGCTGTGAGAACTAAAAGCAAACTACAAACACCTTCCTCCTATCCACCCTCACCTACCTCCTCCCCACAAGTGACACGTGGGAATGGGAAATGGGAACTGAAATCTGTCTGTAGTGTTTGGTTTCTGCCACTCCCTCAAGGTCACTTTCTGCCCATGCTCCACAAAGTTCCCTCCCATGGGATGTTGTCCATCCCAAACTGATCTTGCGTGGGCTCTCTTAGCACTGCCCCAGCATGGCTCCATACCACAGGGCCCACATTTTGGGCACTGCTCCCTACAGGTGCAGCTCCCCCAGCCCTCCCAGCCCACTACAGGCTGCTCCCCACAAGTTGCAGCTTTAGTCTGGCTGCTTCTGTGGGGGTATCCATGGCTGTGGCTCCTTTGGGCCTCATCCACCTCTGCACCATGGGCTCCTATGTGATTGCACGTGAAGATCCTCTCCATGTGGAGCCTGTGGGTGCCTGGAACACCTCTTGCCCTCCTTCTGCAGGAGGGCACTGACTTCTGCAGGCCTGTTAGTAATGGAACAGTTACTTTATTGCTATAGCCAGAGATTAGTCTTCATAAGGAGGGCAGAAGAAAACACTGAGAAGATGAGGAAAGAAACATTATTGTACCTTCCATCCTTCCTCTGTGGTAGAGCCATCTTTTAATCCTGAATGTCGCTGGTTCCTCAGGCTGAATGCTTCTTTTGACATAGATCCAGGACTTTATATAGCAAATTCTGGGCCCTAGAGTATATGCAGTGCTAGATCCCAATAGTGACTTTATGGCAGTTTAAAAAAACCCTGTTGTTTCCAGTACAGAAGCATAGACTACTCTAAGCTGAGCCATCTGAACTGTTCTATCTAGTATTTTTTCAATAATGTCATTACTTTTTTTTGTCTGAAACATATCAGACTGATATGCATAAAATAGGAAAGTTATTTGACACCATATACTATATATGAAGTATATATAATGGGAGATTTTGATGCCAAACTTTAAAATAACAAATCTGTTAACTTTATCAGCATTTTGCCAAATTTATGTGTCTTCCATTTGCAAAAGTTCTCTTCAATGTTTTTACAAACAGTGTAGTCTCAAAACTCAAATGCATACAAAGTAGGTTTGCAGGTGATACTAAATTGGGAGAAGCAGTTGATTCCCTTGAGAGTAGAGAAGTCTTGCAGAGTGTTCTTGAGAAATATAGCAACATGGTTATTGGACACTGTGGTGGTGGACCTAGTGCTGGACTAGATGACTTAGTGATCCTTTTTAGCCTTAATGATTCTATGATTGGAGGGATGGGCAGTCAGCAACCACACGAAGTTTAACATTTGGGACAGGGCAACCTCTATGTACAGCCCAGGAGGATGCAGGAGAGCAGCCCCATGGAAAAAGCAGTCTGGGAGTTCTGGCTGAGAGGAAGTTGAACATGAGCCAGCCGTGTGCCTGGAAGCCAAAAGGGCCAACCATACCCTGGAGTGTATCAGGCCAAGTACTGCCAGCAGGTGAGGGGAGGTGTTGTCCTGCTCTGCTCTGTGCTGTGTGGCCTCACCTCCAGCACTGGGTGCAGGCTTGGGCACCAAGATATAAGGATGCAAAACTATTAAATTCAAAGGATTTAGACGAAGGATCCAGAGGGTAAGATCTCCAAGGAGCAGCTGAGGTCCCTAGATATCTTCAATTTAGAAAAGATAAGGCTGAGAGGGGTCCTCGTAGTGGCTGCAGCTCCTCACAGGGAGCAGATGGGCAGCGCTGAGCTCTGCACTCTGTGACTGCAACAAGACCTGAAGGAATGGCATAGAGCTGTGGCAGGGGAGGGTCAGGTTGGGTGTTAGGAAAATGTTCTGCACCAGAGGGTAGTTGAGCCCTGGAACAGGCTGCCCAGGGCACTGGGTATGGCCCCAAGCTGCTGGAGTTCAAGGGGCATTTGAACAGTGGTGTCAGACATAGGGTCTGAATTTTGGATAGTGCTGTGCGGAGCTGAGAGTTGGACTCAGTGATCCTTGTGGGTCCCTTCTAACTTAGGATATTCTATAATTCAATGAATATTTGGTTATATTTGGTGTTGAATATTCAGTTATATTGCTGCTGCAGTCACCGATCATTGTAAGTAAAATGCTTTTTGGTGGATTACTGGATTGAGTTTGGGCTACCTGATATATATATATATATATATATATATATTTACTGTTTTGGATTGTAGAATTTGTTTAACTTAATGAATCTCTGTATGAGTTAATGTGATTCTTTTAAACTATTTTCTTTAATTCCTTTAGAATGAATATGTTGTGTTTCAGCTACGTGATGCAGATATTCCAGGAGAAAATAACATTTACTGAATGCAGTGCCTAAAATGATGGTGAAATTTGTTTAGAGTTTGACTTCTTCTGTTTGCTTCATCCTCCCCAGACAAACGTGTCGATGATTGGCCCTTGATGCAGTCTCCATTTCCAACACTGACTATAAGCACTATTTATCTCCTCACTGTTTGGCTGGGCCCCAAATGGATGAAGACAAGAGAGCCCTTCCAGTTACGTTTCCTGTTGGTTGTTTACAACTTTGGAATGGTTCTACTCAACTTCTTCATTTTCAAAGAGGTGTGTATGCACTCTTACAGGAGGGAATTCCTACTAAGTTTTGAAGACATCTACAGATGCAAAATTAAAATAATCTTATGTGTTTTATGTCTGTTGTAGGAGGTTTGGCCCCGATTTTTAAAACCGAATTTCTGTTTGACATGAGCATTTAGGTAGTTAGGTACATTGTGACGTGAATAAAATACCTAGATGGATATATTTAAGGAATTTGTACACTATCTAGACCAAGATCTTCTTAGATTTGTTAGCGTAAATACTGTACAGAATAACTGGAATCAAGAAAGATTTAAGTAGAATTATTCAAGTTTGGAAATCATTTTCCCAGGATAGCGTTTCAGAATACATATGATCCTAAGGAGTAGTTTTTGTTACTGTGATTTTGCTCATGTGGGTTAAGGGTCTTCCTGAAAGACTGTGAATCCTGAAAGATTGTGAATTTACTAGATGTATTTCCAGAAATAAGAAAACAGATTAACATGGTTAAAATTACAGCATTTCTTTTCAAGATGGGCTGTTCAACACTTTTGCCAGGAAAGCAGGAATTTTCTTTATATTGACCTTTTTCCAGAGCCTCATTCTAGTTGATTAGTTGTTTTTAAGACATAATTCAGTAACTAATCTTTGCCGTAACACCTCAGTCATCATTTTCTCTAAGTTGTCTCTTGCACTATTCAGATGTGTAATAAGATTTAAGATATAAGATAACCCAGAATTGAATGCTGTCACATAAAGATAATTGTGAAAATAGATAAAATTGATGAGGCATCTTGGCAGGTTAAAACTGGAATTCCTCTGAAATGAGTTCACTGCTTTTTTTTTCCCCCCTATATCTGTCTCTCACTTTTCTTAGTCAGTTTGTATTATCCATAAGCTGAATTACAACAAGCTTGTGGTCAGCTTCATATTCAAAGCTCTGTTGCTTATAGGATAATAAATGTATTTGTGTAGCATTGCCAAACCACTGAATTCATATGCAAACGAATGTAAATGCTCAGCTGCAGACAGAGGTTCTAATTCCCTGCTATTTCAAATGGCGGTTCAATTGGCTATTCAGTGCATTTTAAACCAAGCAAGCTGTTCATACAACACTTGTAATAAGAAGTGACTTTTCTCAGTCTTAGGGACTGATACAAGTATTCAAGTTTCAAATGTTATCTTTAGCCAGGCAACTTCTACTTCAGTCTATGTGAGGCTTACATTACCTATGTGCTCCTGTTGTAATTGTCATGAGTAATGTAGCTGATACAGGTAAAATGATACTCTATTTGTATTTTGCGAATGACTGAAGTTTCCATGTATTTCTAAGAACAGAATTTGAATGTGAAGTGCTTTTGATAAGATCCATAGATCTTGTTTTTAAATTTAAATGTTATTTAAATATTCATCCTTAGATTACTAAGCGAATTGTTCACCTTTGATAACATACATTAAAATGATGAGTCATAAAATGCTGCTAGATTTTTCAGTCCAAAACTCTCATATATTGGTCTCAAGTTTAGATTGAGATTTAGGTGCAAATTTATCTTCAAACATTCAGAAGTCTCAGATGAAGATGCCACAAAATCATGTATTTCTTTCTCCATTTTGAAGAATTAGCTTCAGGCTGGGGAAGTAAATTTACTACTGCCTTTGCCAAGTGAACTTTGGAGAAATTACCTAATTATCACAGACCAGAGTAGAAAATGGTTAGTTTCTGTAACGGTGCACACAAAGCTATTCTGTAGTTCTCTGATACGTTCAGATATGTTCATGCCTATGTGGAACCACACAGAAGAACAGTGGTTTTACAGTAGCTTGTAAACAGGCTTGGTGACACAGAAATAGTTGAATTTCTTTCTTGAGATCTGTTTGTTTTGGAGATGTTCTTGCATCAGTTTTCTTTACTGTAACAGTTCCCAGTTTACACGTTATGTTATCTTTTTGCTCCTTAACAGAGTGGGAATACCTAGCTATAAACAACCTGGGATCATAGCATATACAAACATCAAAATTAAAAGTATTACTTGAACCTTGTACAGCTCTAGGCAAGTGCTCTTCTTTCCAATGGAAACTTGCTCAAATGTCAAGTTTATCTTTTCCTGCTTTGACTATTGCAATACACTTTGTTTGGCATGACTCTACAGAAGCACTTGATATGCTTTAGGCCATTGCACTTGCACAAAGTGGGGCAGTTCTCTTCATGCAGTGTCTCTAAATATGTTTTATGGGTGCTCAGCATTGTCTCTCCAGGGATTTTTTCCTGGATTTTGATTGGTACATTGTTATAAGAATGGTAGATGCACATTGTCTAATCCCTGTCTGCTGGAGAGAATTCTTTCTGTTCTGAGCTGTCACAGCATTTGTGTTTCTATCATTCTTCATGAAAGCAACTAGGTGTCTTTTGTTTTTGAATCTAGAGCCCTCTAAGAGAAGAATTGTGTTTGAATATCTTAAGGTTGTATTTGTTCAGGGTCTCTAATGATCTGGTGAAATACATGCAAGGAAATTAGTACTTTTAATATAATAGGGAAAAAATGCTCAGTATGTTAACAGATTGTTAAAACTAAATACTGGTTTTCTTCAGTAGCATTATTAAGACAAATTAGGACAGTTAAAGTACTTTGTATAGGTAAGTTTGATGTAGCAAGAAACTTGTTGATAACTGTTTTGAACTTGGTTTATATAGTATCTTCCTCCTCATGTATGGCTTTAATATTTTCAGCTGTTTTTATCATCAAGAGCTCGAGGGTACAGCTATGTCTGCCAGACTGTGGATTATTCAGATAATGTTTATGAAGTTAGGGTGAGTATTTCTTTATTATTATTATTATTGATGTGTGTGTAATATATAACACTATGTTATAAGTTTTGTCTGAAAATACAGTTTCCAAACTTGTTCTGTCAGCCATACTGTATCCCGTTACATTCTCTGACTGCTTCAAGCTTGATTATGTTACACATAGCTGGGTTAATCACAAACGTCAGTGTGTTTGCATTAACTTTCATCTGACTGCTACAAGGAAGCATAGCCTTAAAGATACCATCCCTGGCTTCAGCCCCGGTTGCATGAGCCAGGATAAACTTTGTATGCATGCTTTGGTTGCCAGCCTATGCTGCAGTTTATGATACAGCGTAACCACAGTAAAGGTGTAGTTCTAGATCAAAGCAGGTAAGATTTGTCAGCATATACTGTGGTTGCACTTCACTGATACTGGTGAGGCAACTTTTTGTCTTCTTCATTGTGTTTGGCTTCATGAACTCTTGCTAGCTTCTGGCAAATGTTTTATCACTACATTTCATTGCAGAAGCTTAGATTTCAAATGTGTGTATTTTGGAAAGCATTCAAATTAAAATCAAAGTGCAGATGCTTGTTAGCTTAAGTAATACTGTTGACTAGCTCATGTGTTAAACCTTATCTTCCAGCAGAGCTGACTCTTGAGAATCTTGCAGCTGTCCTTGCAAGTTTCATCCACTACAGATTATAACATGTTCCTAAAAATGCAATGGAAGCATGTTGTGATCTAAGTACCTTGGATGGCTATAGCACATCTTGAAAAATATATTTCAACAAAGTGACTGTTCATGGGTACTCAAAGACCTGTCTAAGTGGCATGAGTGGTAGTGAGAAAGACAACTTTGTGTCTTAAAACTTCTGTATAATGGCTGATTTTGAAGAACAGCAGTGATAGTCACTTGTCTTTTGTCTTTACCATTATTGTAGATTCATTGTGTTGTTCATTTAAATACTTCTGTTAATTATTTTGTTTAAAAGCAAATAATTGAAGTATAAAAAATGCTTGAGGGTTTTGTTGTTGTTGTTGTTTTTTGTCCAATAGACAAGCAAAATAGAATGCCTTGATACTCAGCTGAATGGTAGCGAGGGACTGTGGTGAAATAAATTAAAAGCATTTTTGTTATTGTTAAGCAGAAGAGGTGTAGCAGTTTGTACATGAAAGGTATTTAATAGCCTCACTTTTAGGTGCACGTGTAGACAGGCTTTACAGGTATCAGACCTGATCAACAGAATTATCTTCTAATTTGTTTATTATGAGGAACAAAGGATTATTAAATAATGAAATAAAGACAAAATGACCAGTACGATATATTAATTGCCTATGGTATGTGTGGCCAAGATTCTTTTTATTTCCTAGCTTTTTAAGATTTTGCAAATTTGTGGATTTGCATAAACTTTATTTCTAAACTTCTGGATTGTAATATGCTCAATTTGCAACTGATGAGTAGGGAAAAATGCTGAGTTTTCTGAAGTGTTGCAGTAATTGTTTAGTCAGATATTGGACAAGACCCTTGTCATGATCATAATCTGGTAGTTCTGAGTAAATTCTCAATTTAAGGCAATAAGCAGCAAGTGGAAAACTATACTTTCTACACTTGTACTGAATTTAACTAAGGAGTCTAAAGTAGGTGAGTGGCTGACTTCTGAGTGTATCATGCTTTGTTACAGAGGCTAGGAAGCTGGAACTAATACTGTCAAACTAATTGCATGTGGCAATCTGAATGAAAATTTAGAAGTCCTGATATCTTCTCTGTATCTTTATCATTTCTGGATGAAGTGCAAATACGAGGTTGCCATGTAGTGGCCTGCTCAAAGGATTTTATTTTGCCTACAGGGAGTACAGAGAGCTGATTAGCAGTTCCAAAGCAAAGATTTGGCAGTCTTGGATTACAGAGGGATGTCTTCCATCTCCTCTCCAAACCACTTTTGTCTTAAGACAAATAACCAGCTGTTATTTCAAGGGAGCAGTGTAAGACAGGACATATGGTGGCACTTGCCCCATCTAGTGCAGTGCCAGCAGTCCGCAGCTTAGACCTCCTGAGGCAGAGATAGTCTCTTTGATTCCCTGATTCTTCAGGGGATGTCCTTCCATGAATTAGTCTGTATGCTTTCTTTAACTTTACCAAGCTTCTGACGTCCGCTGACAGTTAATTCTTTAGTTAGTTTACACACAGTGTGAAAAAGTTGGTCCACTACTTAGTGTTTTGAACCTCTAACTATACCTGTAATCTCATCTGAGTTCCACTGGCTCTTGTCCTACAGGAGGCAGTGGACAACTGGAGCTAGCAGGGCATGGAAACTAGACTTCAAAAGTGCAGAAATATCTTCTGGATATAGTAGGTAGCTATCTTGCTGTGCTGGTGGGTTGTTAAGGACTGTGTTTCATGATTAGTTTTTTTTTTAAAAAACAAACAAACAACATTCATAGTAGATAAGAAAAAATGAGGAAAAATCCTCAACAGGGCTTTTGATGGAGCTGGAGCTGCATCTTAGAGGAATATTTTGATTATAATTTCAGAGAAAATAAAAACAAAAAGGCGAGATGTAGGTCACTCTGAAAGTAATGCCTCCTATTTATTTCCTATTTATGTGGAAAATACACCAGATACAAAGAGCAAGATAACACTATTTGATAGAGCACGTTCTCAGCTACAAAGCACTGTATTTCAATATATTCAACACCATTAGCTCTGCATTTTTACCAGTGATGAACAGGAGCCTGCATACCCATACTGTGCTCATAAACATCTGCACCAGCAAAGGTGACCCACTGTTTCACAGCTGCTATGATGGCATCATTGCTAGGAAAATCCTGTATGTACAGTTTGACATACAGTCAATCTTTCATCAGCCCAAACAGATTAAACTCAGAAGGTACCAAATATGGACTGTGTGGTGGGTGAGATAAAATAGTCCAGCCAAGTTTGGCAAAGTGCTCCATGGTCTTCAAACTGATATAGAGCTTGGCATTATTGTGTTGCAAGGGAAAGGTTGTCTTCTTCTTTGGCCTGACACTGGATGTTTGAGCCTTCAGCTTAGTCAGCATTGCAACGTAGTGATCAGAGTTGATGGTTTGTCCATATTTCAGGAAATCCAGAAAGATCATCCCTTTCCTATCCCAAAAGACAGTGCACATGACTTTACCCACGGGGGGCTGTGTCTTGAACTTTTCCTTCAATGGGAAATTCACATGTTGCCACTCCATGAACTTCAGTTTTGATCCCAGCTGGTAGTGGTGACACTGTTTCTTCTCACTGTTAATGACGGTGATTCAGGAAACCATCACCTTCAGCCTCATATTGGTTCAGTAGGTCCTGATAGACTTGCATTTAGTGTTCTTTCTGTTCCCGTGTGAGCATTTGTGGGACTCACCTGGCATAAACTTTGTCACCATTGTTTCCAAGGCACTGAAGTCAATATTAAGCTCGGTATACAGTTCCCTGTTCATAATCTACCAATTTGCACAGAAGAGCTGATGGAGACACTCTTAATTTCACGGTATGAAATGGTATTTCATGGATTTCACGGTATGGTCTGTATGGCCATCCAGAACATGGTTTGTCTTTCATGTTACCACTGCTGAAATGCACCATCCACTGCCTCACTTTGCTAACCTACACTGTTTCGTCTCCATCAATGTTCAGTGAATGGGTGTCATTTTTTCTTCATGGAGGAATTCAGTGGTACCCTTTTGTTTCATATGCAATTCCATGTCAGATACCATTCTGTCAGACTGCCCCTCTGCTGCCATCTGTCGCACAGCAACAAAAAGTAATGGAATATTGGCAAAAAGGTTCAACCTCTACTGCCATACCACCAACACTTGCCTCTGACATCGTGGGCCAACATAACAACACAGGAGATGTTAATTTCAGAGCAGCCTATGTAAATCCAGGCAATGGAGTGCTCCTCTAGATGCTCCAGTATTTGGAGTAAAGGATTTCATAATTCTGTGTTAACTAAGACGTTTTTGTGTCTGTGAATAGCCACTTGCACCCTCTACTTATGCATGCATGTTCTTGTTTTGCAGAACAAGGTTGATCTCTTCTATTGGTATATTTCTGGAGAGATGAGAATTAGAAGTCAGAATCTGCAATGAATTAGTTATTAGTTTTAAGTGTACCGATTGTAATCGCAACGATGAGTTGTGGTTGTAACTGTAGTCTGCTTGCTTTCTTTAAATGTGTCTACAGATTGAATAGTTTCCTCTAAATTTCTCTGAAAAGGGAACTGGACTTTTAATAAAATAAGCCCCATAGTTCTATTAATAAAATTCCATAAATGAAGCAGAAGGAAAACGAGTTCTCTTTAAAAAGAAGTCCTGTTCCCTACAACCCCTTTTTGGGTGGCTGCCTCAACCTCAAATGAGAAAAGAGGGTTCAGGAGCAGAGTTCCATGTTAAAACAGCCCTCTGTTCAAAAACCCTGCCGCAAGCAGAGTTCATAGGATTGGACCTCTTGTTGACTCCCTTAATCCTAGGCTATAGTATAATCTTTTGTGCCATCTGGTGTTTTAATAGATTTACATTTGATGCATCTGAAAACTGACAGAAATTGTATGGTCATAAATAGTTTTATTCATTACGGGAACACATCTGTTTTAATGCATATTTTTCTCTTAAGCTAAATTTTTCTTTCTTGCTATGTCCAAAGAAAGACTATGGATTAAGTCATAACTTTTGATGCTTTACAGGAAAAAGTTTAACAGTAACCGTTCACTCCTTAAATAGCTTACATGTCGGTGTATTGTTCTACTTTCCACCTTCTGTCACTGATAGCTTGCATGTCTTTGGGGAAACAATGTAACATCTGTTTAATATTTTTCTGCATTTGTGAGCTAATGATCAAAATGCCTTCATAAAACATTGGAAGCTCTGAGATTAGATCAATACCTGAAACCTGTCGATTGCGAGAATAAATAATAGTAAAGCCTCAGAATGGAAAGCAGGAGGACAAAAAAAGAGCTTTCAGGCAAAAAATCTATATAAACATAATAATCAGCAGTTATTATCCTGTGGAGAAATGGAGGCTATTTTTATTCTTAAGTAATGGGAAGCATTTTGATCAAAAGTTAAGCTGACTTCGATCCACGTGCTGTAATTGCTTTCTCTGCAAGACAGTTAGAATTAAAAAGAGGAGAAATAAAGTGCTAAATGACTTTCCAGAAACAACCTGGGCATAAAATAGTTTAATGTTGGATTTTTCTCATACGTTTTGCTGTACGTTATGCAGTAAATTTACAAGTTATTCCACTGTTTCTTTAACAAAATACACAGCAGCTTTGAGCTTTTCAGGCAGTTTGCTTGTAGCTGACCTATTGATTCTTTGCAGTTTTCTCGGAAGACAGCACTTCCAATGAGTGTGGGTGCTGGTCTGTCTATGGATACAGTCCAAAGTGTTTACTGTCAACTCATGAGATGAAAAGATGTTTATCTTAATTTATTTAAAAGATGCAGCTTTAGCAAAGATCTGTAGAAGACAGTGTGCTGTAATGCTAATCCATGGGTGTGAGACAAAGCCTTGATGTGGGTGTTATTACACACATGCCTATCTGTCCCAGAGGCAGAACTGTACTGGATATTGGGTAACTGTATTGATAGTTCTTGTGACTTGCATGCATGTTTGGGAACTCCAGTATCTGTGGGTGTCCCTTCTCTCTCATCAAGCATCTCTTCAACTTTGGCATGTATCTTTTGATATAAAATTGACAAAATTTGTGTCTTCTTCCTGAGATCTGAGCTGTGCTGTGTCTATTAGGGAGAAGGGTGTTGATTAACAGTTACACGGAAGTCTGCAGTCTGGCATCAGTAAGTTGTGCAGTCCCTTTGGGAAACTGCAGAGTCTGCAATGCAGAACTGCGGCACTCTTCTGCCTTTTTTTTTTTTTTTTTGGCTTCTGCTGTAATCTCTTAAAATGTTCCCAGTCCACTTATGGTTGTGACAAGCTTATTCTGAAGAAAGATACGTTTCTTTCTGGCTCTTTTGGAGACAGGAAGGAAAACAGCAGACAGGGCTGTATAATTCATGTTTCTGTGATTGTTCTCTGCTGCTCAATCTCCCAGTTTCTATTCTCTCACTCATCCATACTCTTAAATATCCCCATTCGTGTGTATTTGGTCGGGGAAGCTGCTGCCATCTTATTAATTTTTTTCTTCTATCTATCTTCCCTGGGGACTGAGTGGGTGGTGGAGTTATTTCACATGTTAAGGTAAGAAAGTGTGCTTTGCCTTCAGATGAGTCCTGAAAGATGAGGTACAGTTCTTGCAAATAGGTGTGTTACGACATTGCCTGCTTTTCTTGCAGGTGGTGCCATTTCCATCTTTTTTTGTTTGTTTGTTTGCTTGTTTTAAAATTCTATTTATGAGTCACCATCTGGGATACATTCTGGTCCCACCCTTGCATATCAAGCTAGTTGACTTGCAGTGCCAGGAACTGCAGTCATTGCTACGCTTCATGATCTGGGAGTCCCCACAAACAATTACTCCAACATCACTTTATTAGCAAATTACTACACAGAACTTCTGTGCTAAACCTGGCATAGCAATATTCTGGTTTCAACAGGAGGCCACATTCATGTTTTATCTGCTGTAGTTGGTGGACTGAGCGCGGAGGAAGTTTAGGTGTGCAACAGTACTGTATTGGATAGATAGGTTATATCTGTGCGGCTTGTGTGGCTCCCATGATCTCATTTCTTCCATTCCTTGAATGGAACAGAGCCACTAGGGGAATGCTGATTTCCAAAGAATATTATTGTTATTATTATTATTATATATATTGAATATTATTAATAATGATATTATTGAATAGACCAGAAGAAACTAAGTGGAATATTTCCCTAACAGATCTGGAATCTTTACATCAGCCTAGCTTGTTGAATGATTTGTTGTCCTCCTATCCATGTGCTTGTGATACTGAAAAACTTCATGTAAAGTTTCAGCCTTTGTGGCTCATTTCACCATGAATTTTCAGCCTCATTGTTCTGACCATACCAATGTTGCTCCGTAAGTATGGGAAGCTCTGTAGCAGTCTCCCACAAAGCTCAAGATTCAGAATGAGGACACCAACTCCTTGCATTTAATGGGTAAACTGTTCAGAGATAGTAATGTTCTTAATACTTTCAGTTCTTTTTTGTGGTAATGATTTGTGAGCAGTACACTCAAAGTACTGGAAGTACTACATCCAGAGTAGATAAATGGAGTATTGGTTTTGTTTTTACTCTTATACTTTCAGATGTTTGATGATTCCACAGCAACATTTACCAGGATTTGGGGATGGAAGAGATGTTCTTCCCTTGCATTAGATAGCTGGAGATAATTTAATTCCTTTCAAGCTGGAAACCACTAATTTATTTATTTATTTTCTCATTACAGATAGCTGCTGCTTTATGGTGGTATTATGTCTCAAAAGGAATTGAATACCTAGATACAGTGTTCTTCATCCTGAGGAAGAAATTCAACCAAATTAGTTTTCTTCATGTCTATCACCATTTCACCATGTTCACTTTGTGGTGGATTGGTATTAAGTGGGTTGCAGGTGGACAAGGTGAGTTTCCTTCCTCCCATATTTTGAATGGAATTATTGTTGTTTATAATCAATGGAAAAAAGTTCTACTGGACTTAGCATTATTATGTAGAAGGCTGTTTGAATAGCACTGAAGCAGTGCAGTAACTTTAATGTGTATTATCTTCCTCTGTGGGAAATGTGGGGGAGGAAAAGATACCAGGCCCCATAGTCTAATGAATTGCAAAACTTCTTTTTTTTCCTCATGGGCATCAACTGCAAACATGAAGTTCTGTTTTCAAAACTATCTTTGTTCTGTATGAAATAGAAAGATGAACGTGTCTTGCCTAACTTCAGTTTTAGCAGATACAGAGAACTGCAAAATCTAATATGAGCAACAATCTGTGTGCAAATGTAATGAAGTTAACAGAGATGATGTTATATCTGAGTTTGGGGTTTGCTTTCTTTTTGTATAAAGAGACATATATAAAGTTCTGAAACCTTTCTTTGAAAGTGAGCCAATAAATCCATCAATTAACTTTTGAAGCCTATTCATGACACAAGTCTATATATCATTATCAGCCTTTTTTTGTCCTGCTTACTTTCTAAGACCTACATCAATGAATTTTATTCCATTGTTCCTGCCATATCCTCTCTTTCCTAAATTGTACCTTCATGTACCTTCATTGCCATTGTTTTTGTGGCTTTTTTTGTTGTTGTTGTTCCTCTCAAATTATATGTTCTACAGAGCTGACGGTTTGGGGAAAATACCCAATTCTGTTGGTAATGTGCTTTTAAGCTTAAGATACTTAGAATAACACAGTAAACACCAAACTAACTTTTTGTCAAACCACCCTAAAACTTTATGGCTCTCATTTACTACAAATATCTCATGCTAGTAGATGAGATATTGTATACGTAGATACACCTGTTGTAAATTATCTAACATTTAGATTATCCTAGTAGTTTGCCACAGATGGGTATCTGAGTTGTTTGATTTCAGCAGCTATTCTTTGCATTGTCTTGATCTTATACATCACCTCCCTTTTTAGCCTCTCTAGTAGAGTAATAACACCTTAAAATGATCTAGTTTGTCACTGTTAAATGCAAAGAGCAAAGAGATCTTAATGCAGACATGAACACTGATCTTTGTTTTCAGCATGGATCATCCTGGAAAAAGTACTAGACTTTTATTTAAGAATACTGGATTTTGTAAGTCATAAATAAAAAAAAAAAAAAAAAAACAGAGATGAGCTATTTAAACAAACTAATTTTGCAATGCCCTTAAACATCTTACAGCCACAAGTGAGGTTTTGCTTTGTGTTATTTTTTGACCTCTTTATTCAAACTTCCATGTGGGTTTCTTGATGTCTTGCTGAGATGTTAATTTTACACATTTCATTACAGCTTAACAAATTGAAGTTCAGAACCTGCAACTGCTTTATACTTTTACACTGTCCAATACAGCTTTTAAAAGTTCCCTTAGCAAAGCCATTGCACTACAATAACTAACGTGTAATGCATGACTTCAATCTATTCAACAAAAACATTATAAAAAGCTTTTGCTTAAGTAGTTCCATGAGAGCAGTGAGACTTACTTGCCTAAACAGCTATTTCTGTCAGTGCATGTCATCAGTGAGGTCTACACTACACAACTGAATGTTTCAAAGATGGAAGCCCAGCATGCCCTGTGCTTTGTGATGTTTACTATCACATGAATAATACCAGAATAGATTCTTTTTTTTTTTTTTTTAATTACATGGAAATCTTCCTTCTGTTTCTGGACAGCTTTTTTTGGAGCTCAGATGAATGCATTTATTCATGTTATTATGTACATGTATTACGGATTAGCTGCCTGTGGCCCTAAAGTTCAGAAATATCTGTGGTGGAAACGATACTTGACTATATTGCAATTGGTAAGTAAAATTTCTCCATTCGTTTGAGGAGCTGTTGCCTCTGGGTAGATTTGCTTCTATACAGCTTTGGAACAGGTGCTGTCTCTATCTAAAGTTCTTAGCTGTCCTATACTCACGTCTAGTTAGAAATGATTATATTCTTAAATGTAATTAAGCAGTTAAAGTAATTGCTTAAGTATACAACCATTGTTGTGTGAAGAAGTCTTCTTAAGTACTTATTACTGATCATGGGCATTTTTAAGCTTTAAGAGGTTTTTATTTTCAACAAACAATGACTTATTAATTAATGGCATAATAAGGATCATTATGAGACTGGAAAAGATCTAAAGATGACTTCACAGTTCCACCTCAGACTGGCATTAACAACCCTCCTCAACACCCATATCTGCAAGCAGTCAGTTATCAAGCATGTGGTTATCCTATTCTGAGTACCATGGAATCACCATTGTGTTTTTTTAAAAAAAATCTAAAGGAATATCTATTACTGTTGAATATATCTCTATATGTTTTTGTTTATTTGTTTGTTTGTTTAATTGAGTTTTCAAATCCACTGTAGAGCTAGTAGGTTGCATATTATGACAGCCAAATACAGTTTCCCCCTGCTTCAGTGTTTCTCAGTTTTCATGAGTTAACACATTAGCATACATGGGTGCAGACCTACAAAATATATACAAACCTTCTTGATTACGTGCTTTCTGTCTTTCAGGTGCAGTTCCACGTGACTATTGGCCACACAGCTCTGTCTATTTATATTGATTGTCCTTTCCCTAAATGGATGCACTGGGGTGTAATTTTCTATGCTATCACCTTCATTTTCTTGTTTGGTAACTTCTACTATCGGACATATAAGCTGCCCAAGGAACCTGTAAAGAATGGCAAAATAGCAAATGGTGCTGTTGCAAATGGAGTAAGCAAACCAGAAAATAATCCAGTGGTGGAAAATGGAAAAAAGCAGAAAAAGGGAAAAGCAAAAGGAGAGTAACTTGATCCAGGCCTTAACCGTTGTTGGCAATGAGGAACCTACAGTTTGGTTTATAAAAGGAAGAAAAAAACACTATCTGTACCAATTAACCTTAGGTTACTGAAGAGCTAGAACACAGATATTTTCATTATTTATGAAGATTGTTTTAAGAACAAAACTTAAAGTTGAATTTCTATTGTAATTATGTAATTATCATGCATATGGTCTCTGTGTAAACTTGTAGACTGCTGGTGTTGGTGAATGTAAGGAAGAATTGCAGTTAATTCCATGTTTAGCAGTTCGAAAGTTAAAACTACCATTGATGCAACCAGCTTTGTTGGCACCCACATTTCTCTGGGGAAGGGAGGGGGGAAGGAAGTAGCGTTTGAATACTTGTGTTTTCTTTCCAGAAATTTATTAAATTTCAATTTACAATGTATTATCTAACCAGAACGCGCAACTTTTCTTGTCCTCCTTGAAGAGTATCTTCATAAACATCATGTTTATGTATTGTCAGAACAGTGTTTGACTTTTCAGAAATTACTTGATTTAATTTAGTGTCTGTTACAGGTTTATTTTGGTTGGTTTTGGTTTTTGTTTTTTTTTTTTTTTTGATTTATTTTGTTTTTGTTTTTTTTTTTCCTTGTGTGGAAATATACCTACCTCTTCATCTGCTGAAAAGAATATTGAGCATTAAATAACTGATTTCTGAAATACGGAGTCTTCTAATATAAGTATCTATTAACATAATTGAGGAGGAAATTTTTCCTTGGGAGTAAAAGAGATTTTATTTCCAGGTATTTTGGGTCAAATCATCAATATTTTCATTTAATGTGAACTTAAATTTTGGAGCGGTGTTCTTAGCATGGCTAAGTGAAGAAAACATTTTAAGGATTTATAAATATGAGACAGTCATTGTGTGAAGCAAGCAATGTAAACAGGCCTGTGGCTTTGTTATCTGTGACCTACATTAAACCTGTGGTGCTGATTGACACTGAAACTTGTAAGATAACATTATGATGGAGAAAAAACAACATTGACACCTGTTCAGAAGTACAGTGTGTAGTGTCATGCTAACAACAGGACAGGTACTTTATTAGGGGAAAGAGAATTCAATTATAAAGTTCTAAATACAGCAAACACAATGCTGAAAATGCTGCTACTGTTTGATGCCCATCAGTACTCGATTGATGATTTGCCTGCTAGAAACTTGCAGGCAAAATATTGCTGGCAGTCAGGCCACCATTTTAATGTGAATATCAGAGTTGGGTTTCTGAAAATCTAGTCCCAAAATATTCTTGGTTCTTCTCAACCTGATTGATAAAGTGATTCTGCTAATCAGTTTTTAGTCATAACTGCTACTACAAGCAGAAGCCTCTTTTAGTCAGCTTTTCATCTTACTTGATGCATTAATGGACTTCTTCCTACTCCTTTTGAGAAGTAAATATGAATACGAGTTAATTCCCTTCCACACAGAATGAAAATTTAGACAGAATTTTTGTGTTGCTGCAGATGCAGTGAGTATAATGCAAGTGGAATTAGAAACCACATCCTGAACTCTCAGGGTCCTTATTCATCACTGCAAGAGCTGCACTGTTGCTGTTGAAATGCACTTTGCCCAGCTCTGGCCAGAAACACTCGTTGTCAGTGATGAACTTACATGGAGGGAGTGGTGATGTTATTGAGGGGAAAAAGTACACACAGCTCTAGGTATAGAGAGTTACACATGTGGCACATCTTTATGCATCTCGAATACCCATTTGCCTGTTGTGACCTGTTTTGCACAATATGGACATTTTTCTGTCTTGGGTTTGTAGTTTGTCACTTTGATGAAAACTATCTAAGCCTAAAAAATGGGCTGTAGGAAAAAAAAGGGCTGCTTATGATCTGTTTTACTGGGAAATAATTCCTAATGCTGGAGTTCATTCAACTGCTGAAGTGGTTCATCAGTAATGTCCATCGCTGTGGATTTTATGGCAGAATATAGGACTTGGAGAGAATGTCTCTGCTGAGCTGTAATGCATGTGACCATTCATATTCCTATCTGTTGTGTCTCATGATTCTTCTTCCAGTCTTTGTAATGAAGGTGTTTTGTTTTTGGTTTGGTTTGTTTTTTGTTTTTGCATTTCTATGATTCTTATGCATTTATGCAATATGGCATGAGGAAGAGGGAACATGTTCTATTCTTCTTTCTTGCACAGATGCCACTACAAGTCAAAAAGTTGGCTTGCTCTGGAATGGCTAATGGAGCATATAACTACAAAGCAAGTTGGACAGCAGATTTACAGCACACCTGCCATTCCAGGTTAATGGCTGGTGTGTGTACTCTTACCCTAGTGTAAATTGCAGGTAGCTTACTCCTCTTTGATAAAGAGTAGCTTCTTTCTGTTTGACATGGGATGTGGACAGCTAACCAGTAAGTTTGTATCATTCCTTGTCTTGTATTAAATTGGTGGTTTACTCTGTCTTTCTTTCTGTAAGACAGATTGGATAAACTGATAGGCTTAATGTGATCTGGCTCCAAAAAGAGCATACCGAGGAATATTGTAGTACAGGTTTGACTTATCCTTTGCTACACTTTGTAAAGTAAGGATGTCTTGCATGTTGGTAAATACTTGAAAGAGTTGAAAGTCAAATCTTCTCTCGCCCTCAGCACACATGGAATCCTGCCCTCAAATTCTGGGTCATTTGATACCATTTAAAAAAAAAAAAAAAGAGAGAGAGAGAGAGAGACAGTGCTTTGGGAGAACTCATGCATAGATGCACATCATGTCTGGACACGTGAACAAAACCAGCTTGAGAGATTGGCAGTTCCATGGGAAAAAAATCCCATTGAGTTTCTGCAATGCTGCTGTTTTGAGTCCATCTCTTGCTACACTGTTTCTGACTATGCAGATTTCTCTTTCTCAAGATTTGCATACATGAGATACTGCCAGTTCTGCTACAGCCATCACTTAGTCCAGGGCTCCACAGAATTTTGCCACAAATGTATGTGCATGTGTAAAAATGTTTCTGCTGTACACAGAAATGAAATCGAAGTTATAATTATTTGCTAACAGTTCCAAAGCTCTTGGACCAACCATACAATTATTTGATGCCATGTAAGTGATACCGATTTACTTATCCTCATCTCTAGTGGTGACAGTTGTTGGATTCTTTTAGCACTTTGCTCAGTGTAAAAGAACTAAAACAAATTCTGTGTGTATAACACACACATATATAGTATGGGTGTGTCTATGTACATATACATGAGTTCTTAGCATGTTCTTTCAGGGTGTGAAGTAAATGATATTTCTTTGATGTGAGGTTGGCAGGAACTAATAGCATAGTTCCTACAATTTGAGCACTGAAATGAAGCAATTTTCATTGATCTGTAGATCCAATATCAGTCTCATATACATGGATAGTATTTGTCAGTCATTTTAGATGTAGAGTGGTGGACAAGCCAGAGCTGTTTCTCCTAGCACAAATTGAGGTAGCAATTCCTTAGAGGAGCTGACGAGTGATGCTGTCTTCTAGTGGGAAGCAGTGTGAGTTATCTGCTCCAGGTAAGTCTCTGAAGTCATTGCAATCACATACTTTAAGAGAACCCTTAAATAAATAAATAAAAGTTTATCTATAGATTCAAAAGCATGGACTATTTGAGTATGACCATTACCTACTTCCAGCTCCAGATCAAGAGGAAAAGATGAAGGCAAAATAAAAATACTGCACATTTTTGGGGGGTTAATCTTGTTTCTCTAGAATAAGCATTTGACATCCAGATGTGGGGGAGACAGGTAAGAAAAGAGTAAACAACTGCTGTGCTCAAAGACCTCACTCTTAAAATGTTTTTGAGCACACTTGCTGTCCTTTAAAACTTGAGAAAAATTGTTCATGGTACATAAAATTAAGCCTAGTGTCACATTAGCATGGTATCAGTCATCATGTGTAAACATACTTAAATCAGATCAGTTTCACTTGAAATTGAAGAGAATGGGGAGGTAATGAAGAATCTGGATAGTGCACTCAGCTTGAAAGCACAGGCTATGACATTTTGGCACTTGGAGCAAGTCACCACCATGACATTTCAGTGTGTTGTGCTCTGACAGGTCTCCCTTTTGCTGGTGTAAGCAGTCAGAGCTCTGGAAATCAGGGTGGCTCCTGTTTACATCACCAGAGTGTGTAACCCTAAAGAACAGAACTTTCTGCCAATATCCCATGAGGATGAGGGAAATATATGAGTCAGAATGCTGCTTTTGCATAAGGTGTTAATGCTTTTGTAAACAACAAAAATAAACATTACTTTTTTTTCATGCTGTCTTGAGTTTGATTTTATGCATCCCCCAGAATGTTCTGTCCCATCTTTGAATTACATGCTGATTTCTAAGCGTTGCATTGATGGCATCTATCAGGTAGCCCAAATGTTCAAGGGACATTTTTCTGGTACATCCCTTCTCATTTAAAGAGTGGAGACTCTCTAGTGTTGGATGTCTTCCTGAAAGGATAGTGTACTGGTTCTGCTGGCCCTTGGCAGAACTAGCTGAAAACAGGATGTCCACTTATCCTACATGTCTCCTGGGGTATATTCTGTCTTTGCAGCACATATATCAGCTTCAGTTGTGGTCCATGTGTTCTTTCCAGTCAGGGAGAAACAAAAGGTTAGATGAAAGGCGTCTCTCTTATGCTCCCAGCATCACACAGTGCTGGGCTCCTGTTCTGGGTGTGCAGGAGAGGTTGGGGAACAGTCAGCATGGTGCAAGGTGGGTGCAACACCTGGACACATAAGCATAATGGTTCTTTCTATAAAGTCTCAGTCAGTCTTACATCTGATTTAAGAAGGTGCTGGTAAGTGGAACTGCACTCAGTTTAAGGCTACCAGTTCTTTGGTTTTAGACATGTTAACACATGGGAATACAACAGAAAGCCATGTGGTTTTGCTTTTGCTGGACACTGTGCTGTGTTAGCATCGGGTCTCTCATCCCACAGAGTCTCAAGCACTTTTGACAGGAGATATAACTCACAAGTAGTGTTTTTGTGTATGACAGGTTCCTTCACAGCTCATCCCTAACTACCATCTCTGTAAGCAAGCATGTAATATTGAGTTGCACCTGTGTTGAGCTCCTGGCACCAGAATGCAAATAGACACTGTGTGCCAGGTAGTGGAGAATCAAGTCTGCCATCATAGCAGAATGTGGTGTGGTCAATTATTTCTTACATCATTTGCAACTCTTGCTTCAACTCTTTGCTTGCATCCTCCCAGCAAATGCACACAGCTCACAGAGTAGGACTTGTTCATTAGGTGATTAACATGCGCTGATAGTAACACTCTATCCAGGTATCTTTCCCATAGTATTTCTTCCCTACTACCAATTAATATAAACACATATGATTAAGTTAGAGAAATCAGATGACTCAAAAGAACAGATTGGACCTCTTGTTTTTCATGTTAGGTTTTTTTACAGCATCATTTGCTTCTTTGAGGACATTTTGGTAGGGGAAGGGTTGCATTACCTTCTTGCTTGCTCAGCTCCTGTCATCAGAGTGATCACAGCAGTCCTGGATGCAAACCAAGCACTTTCTCCAAGGTACTTCCAATGGCAGT